AAAAATTAAGTTAAAGGCTTTTATAAAATGCACTAAAAAGTAAAGAATATTTTTTTATCATTCTGATATCATATCAATAAATTATTTTTCATAATATTGCATTGTCATCGGACCCTTGTAAGTATACCAAATTTCATCAATGTATTGTAGCCAGTGCTTCGATAAACAGTTAACCTGTAGAAAATATAACAGATTTACGCGGAGAATAATCAATTAAGAATAATCAAGTGTCACTTTAAAATGGTTCCAAATTCTGAAATTGTTTGTCCGAATCTGCTGAACGTCCAGTGGAATCGATTAGTTCATGAAACAAACTCTGTCAAAAATAAACGATCCAACTAAAGTATTGGTAAAGTATTTGCGCTACAAAGTATGACGAGACAATATTATTATCTAAATTTCAATTCTGCCAAGTTACTGTAAAGTTCACGGACAGGAAATTGGCAAGCTACTTTGACTTCACAAAAACAAAGGATATTTTGTTTATTCCACTAATAAAATTCTTTTGTTCTTGATTTTAATTAGAAATAAAAAATGTACTTACTCTTTAGTGAAATAGGAAGGAAAAAACTTACTCTCACAAGAATTAGGCCAGCTCATGTTACAACAGGAAAGGGTATCACCTAAGACTTAGCTAACGTAGGGGTATTTTTGCTGACGGCAAGATGACAACCTCTTCTATAAAGAGTACCAAGTAAAACTCATGCCAAATGGAAACATCAAAATATAGAGATTTTATGCCGATTTTAGCAAAATTAATAAAATCTTGCTATGAGAGCTAGACGACTATGAAGATAAAGCATTGGTAAACAAAGGGACACAAATATTTCAAATTGATTTTACTTAAAAACGGTGCATCGTAGCGATATTAAACAAGAGCACTTTACTTTAAGAAAATGCCATGATTTGACATCAATTAATCTGGGCACATTTGCAACGATTTTCTAATTAGAAATGATCGTTATCAATCGTTGACCAAACTTCCTCTTGCTAACAAAACTTTTAGAATAGCCCAGCTTCCGTAAAGCTCTGAGCTACAATCATTGGCGGCGGGCTAACTTTTCTTGGGCGGGGGCTTGAACTTAGAGCGGACAATACTTAAAATCTGATGCGCCTATCGGATCTGCTTTAGTACCATGGAGGGGGGAAGGGGGTACACTGCCAATGGCTACAACCGAGTTGTTTCAAACCTAGTTTAGAGTTCTATAAATACTCTCGAGCGCCTTGATGCATGGACCACTCTAAAAAGAAGGATAACTTCTATAGTAGGGTATTAGGAAAACAATATGTCCTAGAAAAATGTACACATAAAATCGAAAAGCATGAAAAAAAATATTTAAAAAATATTCGGGACAGCAATGAAATAGCCGACGCGCTCCTTAAAAGAGGAACCGAATTTGAGTTCCAGAACCATTCCTTGGTATTGCAAAAAGGTCAAATGAATTATCTTTAATTTCACAGAGACTCATGTACTGGAGAGATATCCTGGGCTAACTCAGTCGAAGGCGTTTATACCCAACATATCTGCTCAGATCCGGGAATTATCTACGCATTCGTAGGGGGCGCAAAACAGGACAATGTCGTCTAGGTAACCACATGAGAAGGATATGTCTGCAATAAACATCTGACTGCGTATTCTGCAGCGTGAAAACGAATCTGCAGAGCATTCTATGTACCTGTTCTTTCTTGGAAAGAACTAGGTTCCACTAGGTCCAACTGTAGTCTCACCTAATTCAGTCATGGCCTTCAACCTAACCTATAGTGTAAGAAAAAACTTAGTTTTTCAATTTGACGTCATAAATATTTAAAAACCAAAGATGATTCATAATGTTCGTGTAAAGTGTAAATAAAAATTACTTTGCTAATTAAAAAAATTATTACTTTCACATACCTTCTCGTTTAACCATTGTTCATCACGACTTGAATATGAAAAATATTTCGGCTAAATGGACTCCAAGATGGCTGAATGCTGATCAGAAGCGTCTTCGACTGACAACGTCAGAGCAAATCTGCCGTAAGCGTCGTCTTGAAGACAATTCCTCAAACTTTTTAGATCGACATATTACTGTAAACACAGAACAGAAGAAAAACACAGAAAATAAAGTAACGGTCAGTACTTTGAAGTAGATGGGATAGAAATATATGACTTTCAAGTGCCACCATAGAGGTACTTTAACAATGTTCCACCATCAATAAGGCGTAGCTGCGGTGTCCAGGGTTTTGGCTATATCCATATGTTGTTCATCTATTCTGTGCTATGGACGAAACGTGGATCCATCGCTATAACCCAGAAACTAAAGAGTAATCCGAAGAGTAAAAGCATTCTAGTTTTTCACAATATTTTATACTCAAAAATAGACTGGTAAGCCCAGACAGCACACAGTCCAATGGACATCTATTTTAGATCCATTTGAGGGTCAGAACGTCCATAGCCGTATTTTGACGTTCAGTGTATGTCCGTTTATGAGCATTAATTTAACAGATGCATATATCGATACCCACTGGACGTCTGTTTTTGGACTTAATTTTAGATTTAAGAGTATTTTGACTGCCAGTGGACGTCCATATTAGGTCATTATTTATTTAGATTACCAGACAATACCTATGAACGCTTTCTTTTTTATTGAACCTACTGCATTATTTCATCAGCGGAAGTTTGAAATATTATAAGCTATTAGAATTACATCTAGTAACAAATTGTTAAGTGTCCCGATGCTCGAAGTCGTAGAGCAGCTGGAGGCGTAGAACGTTAACGGCCGTATCGTGTGTTCGATTCTCGCTCAGGTAAAGCGTTTTTAATTTAATAAAAAAATAATAATGGTGTATGAAGAGTTGCGAAATTAATAAATAAATAATTAATAATTTAAAATAGTGTTTGGCGAGTTCGCGGTTGTGTAAGAAAAGTGGATATGCGATGGTGGTATCTAGTAATGCAATGGAATATAATCCAGAAAGGGGCATTTTTTGAATGTCCAGTATCCTATCAAAAATGTTCAATGGGCGTCCATTGGCTATTGTTTAACGTTCATTGCGTCGATATACAATGCCGGAATATAATCCAAAAAAGGACATCCCCTGAACGTTTAAAAGTGTGCGACTTTTATACTACACTGGGCGTTCATTAGATATCGAAAGTCCAGAAAAAAAAACTTATTTTTGAACGTCCAGTCATCCAAAATTGTTTATCGAATGGAGGTCCAATAGACCTATTTGTGCTGCTTGTGATGTTTTGGTTTCATTTTTCTGAGACAAAGATGGCATAATTCTTATAGAGGGAAAACTATCACAGCAGCATATTATACTGAGCTACTAATTAGATTACGCAAAAAAATTTTTGAAAAGCTTCTCGGAAAACTTGTAGAAAGTGTTTTATTTTTTCAAGACATTGTTTACAATGCAAAAGTGTATTAGATTTTCTAGATATATCTTTCATTTTGTCTCATTTCTTCTGTTTAGTTTCCTCGATCTAGGACGCATTACTTTGGTAGCTATAGCTACCTCCGTGATGACGCTGGTAGTATCCCACAAAATGCTAGATTTATTGACCAAAGCCATAAATGAATGGTTGACCCTTGAGTTATCTCCTATTGTTTGTTTTGATTGCAAGTTCCATGCTCTTTTGAACATGACTGTAGCGTAAATAAATGTAAATACTCTCAAAAATGGTGTTACTTACCGTTTGAAAAACTGTTGATGACGTCACATCACCAATAGTGATTGCATAAAAATGCTCGAATAGTTTTGTTTTTAGATGTGTATTTTTTAAGATAAACACCTACATTTTTTGTGACGCCATCACTACTCGAAATATGACATCATCAGCATTTTTAAGAGTATTAAAAGAAGAGTTTTATTGTCTATAAACGCCAAATTACAATATTTTTGACATAAAACGTTGTTACGAATGCTAAAAAACTTTTTGTAGGATTTAATATTTTTTTCTCAAAAATATTGTTATGTAACATATGACAAAATTTGGCATCCATAGGTGAAAAAATTTGCTCTTTTAATTATTGGTACCATCAAAAAAGAGGGTCCCATTTGAAAAAACTTGAAATGACGTCATATTTCGAAGAGTAATAGTGTCATAAAAATAGATGTATATATCAAAAAATGCGCATCTAAAAAACAAAATCGACCTGTTACTTATCCAATGAAGTTAAAAATTTGGTGTTCCGTCATTTATGCCCAACAATGTATACCGGGCGTCCGGGCGACAATGAGACTAGGTCCCGTTAATATATATTTTATTTATTTAGCGATTTGAATCAAATTTTTAACAAACTTACTAGATAAGATTCCGAATTAAATCTTTTACTTAAATAAAATGCCATTAAGTTTGATTTTATAAATGTATATTGTTTTTTGGAATCTACGGGTCAAATTACATATGATACTGTTGGCAAATTTTCATTTTTTCTAACTAATTTTTTTTATGTAGGAAGCCATGATCTAATAAATAATGTTCTAAGTGGTGCATAATGTCAAATTGGTAAGAAAGTTTTTCATCTGTAGACGAAATGGCCCTCAATACATAGGTGTCATTTAAAAAAGTGAGATTTTGGTAAAAAAACACGTTTTTGAAATATATTTTTTATCCGAGGGATTAATTTTTAACTAAATCGGTAAAATTGCTTTTATTTCGAGTTATTCGAGCTATTAGAATATTTTTTCCAGTTCATGGTCCTCTAACTCAAAAAAATATAACTTTTAGAAAAAAAAAAGAAAATTTGGCAACGCTGTCATATGTAATTTGAATCGTAGATTCCAAAAAAACAATATATACAGCGTGATCCATTTAAAAAATCAAACTTAATGGCATTTTCGGTAAATCCGGAAGTCGGCGATTTTGTCCCAAATTTTATCCAAATGTTTTCATAAATGAAAGAAATATTAACACGGCCACGGTCCAGATTGTAAAAACTTAAATGACCAAAATTAATGGTTTTAATTTTAGCACAATATTTTAAAATTATATAAAACTTCTATATTCAGGATGAATTCATTTTATTTAAATATTATATTTAACTATAAAGAATTTAATTCAAACGTTAAAATTTCTGCTACTTAACGATATTGAACATTTTCTCTATTAATCTTTTTATAAATACTTGCAAGAACATAATTATTTCGAAAAATAAATTATCTGTCTACGAACTAATCTTAATCTTCTGTAATCGTTTATTTTATCTAGAGAAGAAACAGCTATTCACGAAAAACTTATTGTCAGTAATATTAATTATACCTATGAACTAACAGTGAAATCACTATCATTAGAAATTTTGCTGACATTCTGTTGTAAACTCTCAGTATCTGTATCTAACATCTCCAAAATATTATTCGTTTTAGGTTTATTCTCGTCGTCACCTTTAAACTCAGATTTTTCATCAGAAGCTTGCGTTGTTACTAATATTTTTTCACCAAATGGCTCATTATCTGCATTTAAAGCTGGTTTTGTCTCATCTAACTGTACCTCACCCGAATCTTGAAGTGGTTGGATTAATTGACCATTTTCAGCATACTGTGGGTAATATATTTGTTGACCATTTTCATCATACTGAATTGGTTGACCGTTCTCGTCATACTGAATTGGTTGTCCATTCTCGTCATAACGAATTGGTTGTCCGTTCTCGTCATACTGAATTGGTTGTCTACTTTGATCATATTGAATCGGTTGCCCATTTTCGTCATATTGTATTCTTTGGCCCGTTTCATCGAAATAAATTGGACGACCATTTTCGTCATATTGAAAAGGTTGACCATTTTCGTCATACTGGATTTGTTGTCCGTTTTCATCATATTGAATCGGTTGACCATTCTCGTCATATTGAATCGGTTGACCGTTCCCGTCGAACTGAATCGGTTGACCATTCACATCATACTGAATCTGTTGATTGCTTCCATCATACTGGATCAATTGACCGTGTTCGTCATACTGAATCTGTTGACCGTTCTCATCATATTGAATCGGTTGACCGTTCTCATCATACTGAATCTGTTGACCGTTCTCGTCATACTGAATCTGTTGACCGTTCTCGTCATATTGTATTTGATGATCAGTCTCGTTATAATGCATCGGTTGGCCGTTCTCTTCATACTGAATCGGTTGAATGTTTTCGTCATATTGAAGCGGTTGGTTTTTGCCGTCATATTGAATTGGTTGACCATTTTGGTCATATTGAATGGCCGATTCTTGTTCATCATATCGTATTGGTTGATCATTTATGTCATACTGAATTGGTTGTTTAGTTTTATCGAATTGAAGAGCTTCTCCGGTTTCATCGGATTGATTTTCATTACTTTGAATAATTTGACTCTTCTCACTGTATTCAATAGCTTGACCATTTTCTGTATGCTGGTTAGTACGTACATTATCGTCCACTTGAAGTTTTAGCTCTTCCTCATGATGGTTTGGATCATTTAAAATTTCTTGTTCTCTTATAGCATTGCCATTTATGTTTTCTACCGTCAATTGCTCGTCTGTAATTTTTGGTAGAACGTTTTGATTTGTTTGTTCAGTTGGATTCTTAGAAACATTTTCAGTATTTTTAAAATTATTAACTTGATTGTTATTACTCATTATCAGATCTTTTAGATTTTCGTTTTCTTTTTGAATAACAAGATTAGATTTTTCGTTATCAAGTTCTTTATTAGAGTCATATTTATTTAAATGTCCTTCAATAATAGTTTCATCATCATAATTCATATTTTTAATTTCTACAAAATCATCTGTTTCATTTGTAATAGTGTTATTCTTTTTTGGGACAGTTGAATCAGTGTTTGAGTTGAAATCTTTATTCATATATTTATTGGATGATTCTAATTTATCTAGTATTTTATCGTTATCAGGGTTATGGTTATGTTCTTCGTTTTTTTGTTCAGGTACATCTTCAGGTTGTTTACTTATATTATTAGGTACATAACGTAACTCATGAGAATCTTCAACAAATATGTGTTTTTCTTTTTCTTTTGCGTCGTTTTCGATTTTATCTGACGTAATGGTGTCTTTACCATTTTGATAATTACTTAACTCTTTATCAAGTTTTGTAATTTCCTGAGTTCTTCCTCGTACATCTTCTTTTTTAAGATGTAAATACTGTGGTGAATAATCGTCATCGTCTGATGACTTTGTAGTGCTATTATCCTTAAAAGAAAGTTTTACATTAGGTTTATTATTTGTTACACCTGAATAATTCTGTTCATCGTTCTGATCTTTATTATAATGTCGATTATATATTGAATTCATAATATCCTCAGCTATTGTTTGTGCTTTATTAGAATCAAAAGAATTATTATGCAATCTGTCTTTCAGAACATCCAATTTTTCTAACTGTGCGTTTTCAATTTTTCTCTTCTCTATGATTTCCTTACATCTCTCGGAAGATATACTTTCCAAATACCTATCTAAAATTTCCATTTTATCCTCATTTAATTTCTGCTGATCTGCTTGAAACAATGCGTCATTTTGGAGATTTTCTTTGGGCAACAAATTGCAACGCGTAGAATTGACTTGCTTGGTCTCTTGAGAACTTGAAACATTTTTCAGATAATTTTGATATTGTCGCCGCAAACTTTTAAATCGTTCCGTTTTAGAAGTGAGCATATCTATCCGTACTTCTATTCTTTCCAAAGTCCTTATTATTTTTTCATTGCGTTCTTGACGTTTTCTATCTTCCTCCAAAAACTTTTTGTATTGTGATCGTAGTTTTCTATAATGCAACTGTTCCCTAAAAAAAAGATTGTTGATTAAATTATTAATAGAGTAAGATCCCAAAACCCCCAAACTGTCATTTTAGAATAGTCAAAATTTTTAGAACAAAATAGTGTAACATATGGTTAAAATCGTATGCGTACTTGCTATATAGCTTGAAAGCGGGGCCCTTTTACAAGTAACAGGTACAAAAAAACCTTAATCGTTAAAGTTTAACAGCTGATTTTTATGTTTTACAGAATATTGGTAAAACCAACATTTATCATTGCATTTTCCATGGGCCCTAACTTCCAGACGCTTTAAAGGTCGTAAAGAATTAGGGAACCTACGTCATAGAAGCAATCCTAAATTGTATGTCACTCGGGGTACTATTTTAAGACCTTTTGTAAGCAGCCAGACCGATCCGAAGGGTCAAACATCCCCCCCAGAGTATGAGCGCAAGGGAATTATTCATGCGCTTGAGTGCGAGTGAGATGTACTATGCGCATGTATCTCTTTCTCTTATCTGTTTATGTGGCGTGTTTTTTGAGTAATATATGTTTTCATTGGAAGACACATTTCCGTTGCAAGAGCTTTCACCATCTATCAATTTACATAGCCAGTAATAGAAGCAGAATTTTAACCCAATGCCAGTGTTTCGTTTTTAAATAAGTTTTTATTTTACAAAAATCAACCATAAGAGCTTTAACACGCGCTTGTTGGCAAGCCAGAAAGACCTTAGATAGTGCTAGTAAAAAAATGAGCTAAAGAAAAAGATAAAATTATGCTGCGCCGTAACCTTAGACAGATTTCCGAAATGATAATTTACAAATTCCTTTGAAATAAAATCCTACTTATATTACTTTATTGTAACCTGATATATGGCGCAAAGCTCTTGCAATGACCTTGCAACGGCAATATGTCTTCCAATGAAATCATCTTTTGGGTGTTAAATTAAATGCCAGTAAAAGTTGCATATTGTTTACCTAAAGAAAGGTCGACAAAACTACTGAGGCGGTTTTTAAGAGAAATTGGATATAGTCGTTGACAAAGAGAGCATTCGGAGTCTAGCCTATGTCCAGCCTCAAATAAAAATTGCCAACGGTTTCCCATTGAGGGATGAAATAATATATCTTGGATATGAATCAAAATTTTTCACTTGTCGCACGGGTGTCCCAACTAATTATATAAAAGCCAATATAAAAAATAATATACGGTTCCACCTTAGCAGAAAAACGGGGTTAATCAATGAACTTTTCCGAAATCACGGCACTTCACGGAGCATTTACTAGGTACTAACTAAGGGTGAATAGTTTTAGGCTGTCGGCAATCAAGAGAGTAGAGCTTACGGCGGCCGGCAAGCGAGAAGAGGGCGTAATTCCCAGATGTCATTTAATTTATGCTTTTCGGTAAAGCAAGATGGAAGACCAGTAAGCCCGAGTGGGGGATACCACCACTACAGCTGACTGTTTACAATTTAGAAATATAAAAAATGTCTTTCTTGTACCTTGATAAATAAAAGGTAGATAATCGGTACGAAATCGACTCTACAAAATGCCCATTCGGATTTCGGCAAATATAAGAATATTTTAATCTACGAGGGTACTAGCAATTGTTGAAAAACGGTAATTCCTGGGAAACATAAATACAGGGGAACTTCTACATGTTCTCAGGCGGGAATTAATTGAAATATACATTTTTAAATGAATTGAGAGTACAGTGCCTTTGAAGCATATTTTATTTCGTTATCAATGAGGGCCGAAATTTGCAGCGAGCTCTCCTATTATTGTTTATACCTGTAACACTATTTATTCTCAAAATTATGTTCTAAAATGGCATAGGTTTGCGACCAAAATACAATGATCATTTCAGAAGTCATAAAAATTAGTATACAACCTTATTTACTGATTGTTTATAAAACTAAAATAGTATTTTTAACAGCCTGAAGTACGTACTTCTTATTGATAAAAATTCGTTATTTACTTTAAAAAAAAAAAAAAAAAACATTTCTGAATGTTAGAAATTACATCAAAATCACACCATCAAAAGTTTTTATTAGATTGAATAATATGTAACTTTTTGCTAATATCAATAATTAATCTGCCAAAGAACCCCGCTCAAATCTTATGGAAAAGTATTCTAATGTGGGAATTGCCTGAATTATTGATAATGTATGGAGGAAGCCTTACTGATTAAAAGTTATCATTGCGCTACAGTCCAATAACCAATAGTTTCGGAGATACTGGCCAATGAATACATCAATCGATCGTCTTCGTATTTTACTCATTAGAAGTTTCTGTTTTCTATCCCCTTTTGAACTATATCAAAGGTTATTTTTAAGGATGTTTTGAAAAATGAATAGTTGTCAACAGTGATGTAGAAAAAGTAACTATTCGGTACTCGAGTATCGTTACTTGAAGGTACCCGAAGTAAAGGCGGGTTCAGACGCAGCCGTAGTTTAGTAAACGTTATTTAGTCAAGTGTGTCTTCTGTTTACACGAGTCAAGTAAATTAGTAAAGTCGAGTAAAAAAAGCGTCTACACAAAGCCAGTGTTTTAGTCGACTTATTAGCACAAAGTCGAGTGTCACGGCTGAAAATTCACCTCGAAATAAGTAAAAATTGTATATTTTCTATTGAAAATAGTGCTATGAATCGAAAAGTGCAAATGAAAAAAAAAGTTCCTCTTCGTTCAATTTTAAAAGTTCATGAAACAGAAGAAATATGTTTAGAAATAATGCAAAAGCCTAAAAAAATTGGATTCTTAGGAGAAATGACCTTGGAGCATCTAACTGTCTTTTAAAAGAACTGGCCTTATAAGACCCAAAAGAATATTTTCTTGCCCTCAGAATGTCAAAGAAATCATTTGATATTTTACTAATATTTACTAAAATTTAGTAAATTTATTTTTGGCCTAAACCTTCTATTGCCATCGCTTCTTGCATTTTCAAGTATGCTGCTTGCCGTTTTTATTTATTTTTGTACAGTTCGTTTCGTTTCCCACAGGCACTCAGGTTTAACATATTTTTCAACGAATTTTAAAGTAGTATCTTCCCCCTATTTTGGCATATTTAATTGTATGAATTAAAATATTCACTACAAACGAAATCTTCAACTAAACTCGAAGCCACTATACATTACTTGCTACTTGCCCGGTCTGTCTAGACGTGTTTTAGCGTGTCTAATCGGCGTGCTAATCGACTTTTCTGTATGGTGGGGGCTGCTACTCGACCAAGACAATAGAATAGAGTTCTATTTGCTAAACTCGACCGTGTACTCGACTGCCAGTGAGCTCGACTAAAACAAAATGTGTTCAAATGGGTCGAGTAACTAAACTACTCGACCACTTGACTAAACTACTGGTTGCGTCTGAACCCGCCTTAACCATCTAAAAACCAAATTATTACCTTGATTACTCGTATACCACGGTTCGCGGTGGAGAGACACATAAACAAACATTAAATCCAACAATTAATATAATAAATTAATAAGGATAGCCTTGTTACAATTTAACATAATGGATACATGTCTAGTGACGCTATTGCGCTAGCCAGTTGGCAGCGTCAGAAACGCTATGAAGAAGGTTAGACGAAGGTTACCGAATTTCAGATTCATGTCGTGCATATCCCAAATACCATAATATGGATGCAATATGACTGCAATAGCCCAGCGTTCTAGCACCCGATTTGCAAGTGCAATAATGTCCAATAATGATTTCTTCTTGATCGTTTTCTTCGAGTTCGTCAATAGTCGTATAAGCAATCCATTTCTGGTACGTGGCGTTCCCGAATCGTGAGTATACTCTTGCTCGGAGAGATCCTGCTTCTGTATTTAACTGATCTATGTGGAGCTCTTCTATGGCATCCCGCCTTAACTTGTCCTGTTTATATGAAATGTTTACTTTATGATTGTATATACATCATTTAAATGGATAACAAATTAGTTGGCTGCTGTTCAGCTTTAAATACTTGTCACAACTGTCATATAATTGTAGTATTTTAAAATAAGGTAATTTTCATTCGTACTTTGAAAAAAATCGAAATTTGCGTTAAATATTATTTTAATAATACATATACCTATTAATAATAAATAGTATGGATACTGACAGTAGTTCTGATAATACTCCGTCAGAGATATTAGAAAAATCAGAGAAAGTAACGTTAGATTTGTTGCCGGTAATTTCAAGAAAAAAAGTATGAATTGGCATACGAAAAATTTTTGGAATGGAGAAGAAATACAAAAATAAAATCTTTTACCATTAACCATAATTTTAAATAAATTATTTAAATTTAAGAAGTGGGATACTTTAATGTTATTTTAGTTTTGTTAACCAAAATAAATATTAATATTATTAGTTACATTACTTGTATTCTTTAAATTTGTGCAGTTGGAGAAAAAGTATAGTGTGCAACATGTGGGGAAAGTACCTTTGAACTTTCCCCACTTGTTGCACAATATACTATTTCAACATTACTATTTTTTTATTTTATTTCTTAAAAAATACCCTTTGTATAGTTTTAAAAAAATATAGAAAACAGAAACTTCCAATGAGTAAAATACGAAGACAATCGTTTAGCGAATGAGACATTCATTGGCCAGTATCTCGGAAACTATTGGTTATTGGTCTTTGGTGCAATGGTAACTTTAAATCAGTAAAAAATTCAGGCAATTCCCACATAGATCATTTTTCCATAAGATTTAGCAGTAATTTTATATGCAGCATAAGAGTCACTATTTACTAATAAACCAAACAAAATAAGGATGTTATAAACAGCTTCTAAATATAATAACGCAGTTAATTCACAGCACGTGATCACAAATATGCGATATTTTGTGACTTTGCGTCTTTTTGCTTGGATCGCCCATTTTTTCCCTTTATGCGTTGTCTATCTTAATGAATTGTAATGGACTTTTCCACGGACTGATAATCTTTGGAAAATTTAAATTTTCGTAGTTTACAAAATTGTCTCTAATAATTGTACCACTTATTATATTACCCTTGAAAATGATGTACCCATTTATTATCAATAAAACAAATAAAGTAAATTAATCTCTAATCTGTCATTTGCATAAATGAAGTAAATATAGTTAGGTAGTTTTTTGCACTGACTTCTCTAACAACCACCCGTACATAAACTTACATTATTCAATGATTGCTTTTCGTGATTGAGTTCAACCTAATTACTTTTCACAATATTTGCCCTAGAAGTTGCGAGTTGATACCGTTTCAATTTCAGGTACACTCTAATTAATGAACTTTTAAAAGTTAGTAACAGATAAGTTAAATTAATTTAATAAGAACAAATTTAAGAAATACATTTTAAGTTATTAATATTTAATATTAATTAATCTGTTTTTTCTTCAAGCGAATCAAATTAGGTAGGTTGTGTCAAGATCACTTTCATTAAATGTAAACAATGTAACAGTCTCTCATCTGTCTGCAAAAAGTGGCATGTCATGTTTTTTGCTTGCTATTTGTAGTTGAGAGAGAGAAGAGTGGGTTATAGAAATGTAACTTCGCCAACTTAATTTCTCAACATACAATGTTCCCCGAGTCAATAAACCCTTCGCGTCTCCGGAAATCAGTGATTTCTTTAATTTACTACCTACAGTCGATCACAAGATAACGTTGTCCCTTTATCCTTTACTGTATCAACTATATTAAACCGCATCCCTTTATAAATAACTTTCTAATTGGGGCTGACAATTAAAATAGGTGTTTCAATTTAACCAGGTTATGTCAAGATAACTCTCATGAAATGTAAACAATGTAACAACCTCTCATCTATCTGCAAAAAGTGGCACGTGCATTTTTGCATTTTTTTAGTACTAGACAGTTTATCGAATATGCGTGGTATTGCCTCATCTTTTAATTTTAATATTCAGTTATTATCGCCTCTTAATATTTCAAAATATAATTTTCCAAAAGTATAACTCACACACATCATCATCACTGGAAAGTGCTTTATCAGTTTTAGGAATTGCATATTGCCACTGTTCAAAATGTATAGGATCCTATTAAAATATTTACAATTATTGAATTGGTGTATGACTAAAAAAGAATAGTAACTCTTCAATATCAATCAACTATTTAATCTATTTGAAAAAAGAAAACTATTTTTTTGGTAAGTTGACATTTTTAATGTGGTAGTTGTGTTGCTTTAGGTTATTTTTTATCTTATAAAAATTTGTAATAAATTAAACTATACACTCCTTAAGTTAAGGTTTGTAACTAGTTTTCAATAAATATTATAATTATAAATAAATGCATCATTTTACTTACATTAGGAGCTTTAAGAAAGCTTGGATTAATTTCGCTAAATTTTTTTCTTCAGCTTTAAAACTATAAAATCTCATTCTACATCAGGGAACGAAGCAAATCCTGCTTTTTTTTACCACTCATGTTAAATACTTTTTTCCAAATTTTTTGTACTTTTTCATCTCTATTATTTGTAGAAAAACATTTTCATTTACATTGACACGCCAAAAAAATCACATACGAACGACCCGCCTACAGTCCATTTGGCGAACCTTACGAAAACTAGTACGGATATTTGAAATTTGGCCATAGCCGATTCGACTCCTCTCTAGTCTTCATAATAACTACAATACGCACGACTCCGAATCAAATCCTAAATACTATTATCCCAGAATATAAATATCAATAACTTACTCTTCTCTAGTTTTTTGCATCATATCATTAAACTTCATTTCCAATTTCATACGTTCCTCCTCACTGAAAAAAATGAACAATTTTTATTTGAATAAAAATTGGAAAATTCTTTGCGCCAAGAAAATAGTATAAAATTTTAACACAATCTATTATTAAAAATTTTCTTCATTCTAAACCAGTAGTACGCGCCAAATTGTCTTTGAGTTTTGGTTATTTTAAATATTTAACTTAAAATTTGAAACAAAGGTTAAGAAGTTAAATTAATAATTTTATAGATTGTAGTAAAAAGTAAGGTGTATTTAAAAAAGGTTTTATACAGGGTGTCCGGATAATGAGCAAAACATTTAAGGGTTGATTCTACTCGAAAAAATAATACTAAAGTTCATATAGGGTTTTTTTTTAACTCAAAAATAGCGAAATTACAGGGGGTCAAAAAAAATGTTTTTATGATTTTTTCTTAATAACTTTATGTTAGATTGCCGATTCACTTTAAATTTGATACACTTATTAGTAATATTAGGTTCTTTCGTTCGTCCCACTGGTGTAGGAATGAACTACACCAACGTACACTAAACGTTTTGTTTGGCCCGGTGTAAAACCCACTATACCTTCCTGTCGGCGATGTGGTGTCCACTGGTGGATATTTTCTACACAAGGGTAGCTATTCACTAAGTCATGGGAGCGCTCCCATGGGAGTGTTCCCATATATTTTGCTCTCTTACTCTTAGGTGGGTATATCGTGCTTACTCCGACCTAACTATGCATGTACCTGGGCTAAAAGTGAGTAAGCACGATATACCCACCTAAGAGTAAGAGAGCAAAATATATGGGAACACTCCCATGGGAGCGCGCTCCCATGACTTAGTGAATAGCTATCCAGCTATATTTAGCAGGAGTGAATTACACTCGACATGTGTATAAGGAATAAGGAGGAAGTAAACTAGGGCAAATAAGGTGGTGTAACTGGTGTAATTTACACTGGTGGAAACTGCACCAACAACAAACGAAAGAACCTATTATTTTGTAGTTTTGGGCCGAATTTGGCATAAATCGCAAATGCTATGTCTTACTATGACCGGCATGACCTTAAGAAAATGTCCTAAAACTTTTTTTGCTCAAAATTTTTTATAAATTTTGGAAACTTACAAGTCCATTCAAAAAGCTTTAAAACATACCATCTTGTTCTACTACGATAAAATGAACCGTTTCTAAAAAAATCGCTGTTTAATAAATGAATGCCACATTTTCAATTTTAATTATTATCTAAGGGTGCCCTGGAACTAATTAAAGGTAAAAAAAAGTTTACATTATTACATAATTAATTAATTTTGACAGATATTTTTTGTCCTTTTTTAGTTTTGTAATACCTTGTAAAAATTAAAATTAAATCTTTTATCATAGGATTATTTAATACGCAATAAGTTTTCAAAATGTAGAGAAATTCGAGAGACGCTAAAATGGTGGTTCCCACCTTATCGAGACGGAGGCCCACACGGGTAAACTCGTAGCGTAACAAAAACGAGAAATGATTTAACTTGGAACGAAAGACCGAAAGCCGATAGTAGTATTAGGACGTTGAATTTTTTGTTTTGTGAAGCATTGGCATTACTTAGGTTCAACCATGTGATGATTTTCACAAGCCTTGATTTTTAAAACCATTCTATATCGCCTTTTGATTAGGGTTTAAAAACTTGTTCGAGCAATGTATCCAATATAATTGGCCCCTTTACCTCTTAAGCCTGCTCATGTAAAATATTTGGGCTCCTTATTTCGCCTATTTATATTCTATTAATAAAGGACAGAAGGATGAGTATTGCAACTATGTTAAAAGAAATAAATTGGCTTTCAGTTCAGAATTATGTTCAGTACATGACTGATATTTATTTATAAAATAAAAATGACAGTACCATCGCATCAGATCTATTAGAAAAAAATCAATATAATTTGCAATATTACAACTATAAACAAGAAGCCAATCTGACTTTCATGTACGGCAAGCCATCACTAAAAGTACCCAAAATATAATTTTTATTAAAGGTTTAAAAAATTGAATAGACTGCCTACAGAAATTAAAAAAAAAAACAACAATAAATGTATTCAAAAGTAACCTCAAACAATATACTTGATAAATAAACAGAACGGATACCTATACTTTCTTGTGATAATACTCTTTAAACCTGCTATTTTTAAGTATTTCCCTTAATTTATTGTTATTTTCCCTCGTTTTACTACTTGCTATGTTTAAATTATTAATAGTTTTGAGACGATAGGTTATAGCAACTTATAGCCACAAAACTATTTTTGTGTTAAAGTAGATCCATAGAGAGCAATGTAATTTACAAAGGCCTTCTTTTAACATACAAATAAATGACAACTTTATAATTAAAATGAAAAACACAACAAAATACTTCGGTATCATAATTGATCAAAATCCCTAGGTAAGAAGATTAATTTTTAAATTTTATGAATTGAGGAAATTTAGGACTAGGAGTCTACTAATTATTATTTACAATTCGCTGATTGAATATGTAAACCAGCATTATATCCTACCTCTCTTTTATATATTAAAAAAGTGCTTTGTATAAGAACATTATATTATCTGTCTTGCTGTACCTTTATTTATGGAAAGCCTTAATTGAGATACACTACAAATTATTTGCAATTAATATCAAAAGAAGCATACATTTTTAATTAATTTGACATTTAAGAGCCATTCACACATCACAGTTGACATCTTTTGATACTTGACCGGCACAGCCAAGCATTATTCTGATTTTTGCCAAATAAAATGGCCGGTTAATTATTCTATGGGGTTGTGAAAGAGAGCCAGTAAATTTGATGAAGGTGCTTTTGTGGCTAGGGGCGAAATAGTAGTACGCTTAAGTTAACACCACCATAAAAAAGTAATTTTTAAGAAACTGCTTATATATTATTCATAAATTGGCAGGCTTGGCGACTAATTTCTGAGATTACCTCACAATTATTAACTATTTTTTATCTGGGTTCATCATCAGTATGCACTGAAGTCTTGTATACAAAGGATTTAAAAATAAATGTTTTTATTCGAATGTGTCAAAAAACGTCGTTTTTCGCACAGAAAACATAGTCAAAAAGTAGAACTTTTGTATAAACTTCATAAAGTACTTTTTCCGTCAACTGACCATTTATGATGTATTTTAACGCACTCAAAATCGTTGATTAATGACTCCTATTAATGAATGATTTTCTATTAATTAACGATTTTATTATATGCAACCCAACGTACATTGCTCTTATTATACATTTATATTGACAGTTACCTATGGTGTAGGCACCAAACATACATACTCATTTAAAATCAAGAAGCTGTGTTAAATTTGTTAATACAATCTGTCATTGTATGTCATTATTTAATTTTTTAGAATTCAAAAACACTATGTATAGTTTAAAATCAAAAGATGGATATTGCCGTCAATATATTGCACAATTTCTAATATTAATATATACAATAATAAAACTGCCACTGAGGAAAATTGAAACTGTGAAAATTGAACTGAGAATAAGTTAATATAAATAGAAAATAGTAATTGTTATTTTTAGTTAAATAAATAAAAATTGAAAGTAAGATATCTTTATTTTTGAAAAGTACGGTCGACGGAAAAGTTATGTAACGAACTCGTGAATTAAAATGGCGATTAATACACTTGTTCGTTAAATAACTATATCGGCCATGGCTTCTAAAGTAAAATATATAAAGTGTTGTTACATACCGATTATTCTCAAATCTGAGGTAGGTTCTTTCATACACCATTTTTGTATTTTTTTTTAAACCAATTTTTAATGAACTAGGTAATTAAATTAATTTGACATGGACACAATGACACGACAGAAATTCTTCAATTGTTCTCATAGCCAAAATTATTGGAAATAATATCATTTCAGATTTAATTTTCGATATATTTTTTAATATCTAAGAACATTCGAATAAAAAAATGTATAAAGACGAAAAGTGTTTTTTTTTTTGGACTCCTACAAGTTTCCAGACTCGACTACGTCTCGCCTGGCAAGATTCTCGTAGTCGCCCGAAAAACTCAACTTTTCGTCTTAATAATATAATCGGATAGGAAACATAACAATAATACATTTTGATGAGTTTAAGCGGAAGTAGAATTTGCGCATGAGTAATAGAGAGCATCAATAACGGGAAAGGTCTATAGAGTGATCTGGTAAAACAAGAAATTTAATAAAAATAGCCGTTCATAGTGGTCAATGTGGGGTTGCCACCTTTTTGAAAAGTGAATAAAGGACTACAATGCTGACAGGGGCTCCGGTATACAAAAAGTCCTAATCCTTCTACTGAACTTCTAAAAAAAAAGTTGCCGAGCTTGTAACAAAAAAAAAACGACCTCCTCGTCATTCTACCGAGCTTCTAAAAAAAGGTCCTCAGCTTATATATTTTTGTACAATCCATGTCCTTTCCAAAGATATGTGCTGTAAAAAAATACATTTGCCATAAAGAAGGACATTTTAAGCTTTAAAAAGTCACAAGGACATTTTGCTTCAAAAAAGGTCAGGTGGCAACCCTAAAACTACGTTTTATGTCACATTCGAATAAAAACTGTATTAGTAGATATGGAAATCAGTGAAATCACCCTGTACAATTAACGCCAGCTTCAATGTGGAATAACCGAATAAAGAGACTTTTAATTCAGCATTCAATTGAGTTTTATTAAAAATTGGAATTGAGGGAAAAATATAAAAATGATTGTAAGTAAAAAGAGATATTACACCAAACAACCCGCAATGGCTCAGCCCGCACAAATTAGATTGGGTAAGATTAGTTAAGTTTTTATATTGCTCATTTTATGTAGACAGGGTGAATCCTAAGTTAATACTTTTTTAACTCTGTATAGAAGTGTTTAAAATAAACATCCTTTTTAAATTACTTTTTTTTTAAATTAAATATAAGGAAGATAAAGAATTAAAAAATTTAAATCCTAGCCTGGAATTATGTTTCAAAAATTAAGTTAAATGAGAAGCCTGTTTACGTTTTTATCGGTTTTACCTTTTTTAAGTTTTTTTTTTTAATGTATGAATCATGCACCAGCTGTTATTGTAATTCAGTCGTCTGGGTGATTGTAATAGAATCATTTCAATATATTTACCTCGCGAGCGTACATAAGTCAATGAACGATGCCCTAGTCCAAGAACTTTTATTAGTCTAACCCAGCGGGCTATAGGGATAGGGATAATTTAATAAAGTGCTATTGTATTGAAATGCGTTTGTGTCGAGGTGAATGGACCGCATAGGATAAATTTGGAATAAATAATTTATTCCTTATTTTTTATTTTTTTTAAGTTATTTGAAAAATATATTTATTTTAATGACCTCTATACAGATAAAAAAAAAGTATCAACTAGGATTTACCTTGTATATTTTTTGAGTCGTTACCAATGACTTACGTACTTTAGTTTTTTACTTTACTTTTATTTTACCCAAAAATGACTATTGTCGTGTTCTAATTGATCTAGCAACACTGCATATTTTGGACATTTGTATAATCAGGCAATGACGCTACATAATAATAAACCAAATTTTTTATAAAATTTTTAGACAAACATTTTATGGTTTATTGCTCTATGGATGGTCTAATACAGTGTTTCTCAAACTTTTTCGGCAACGGAACCTTTTTGAAAAGCGAAATATTTGACGGAGCCCTAAACACATTAAAAAAAAAAATAAAAGGTTCTCGAGCAAAATCATATCCTCCTTCCTCTTAGTGACTTCTAAAAGAAGTCCTCAAGCCAGGTCCCTCCCTTTTGTGGCGATAGTACTGCTTCTGTTTTTTTAATATGACTATTTTCTTCGCGGAGCCCCCACAAAGGCTTTGCGGAGCACCAGGACTCCGCGGAGCACACTTGAGTATCACTAGTCTAATATATTAGTAGTACAGCAAGAAATCAATCAATATGATCGAATTAACATTCTTTTAAGATCGAAATTGGCCGACACTGGACTGGATAAATTATATTGAAATGTGTTTCAGAGGGTCTAAAATTACCCAAAAACAAGTATTAAAAATTAAAAATTTAAAAAAACCGACTTCAAAAACATGCAGATGCCATCACCACATCTTAACCAAATTTATATGGAACTACCCCTGAGGTACCGCTTAACAAAAAAAGAATCATATAAATCGGACAAGGTGGTAAAGCATTATCGTTAAACATACATTAAAAATGAAGAGTTTGATTTTCTCATGGAACCAATTATTAGATTTTGACCAAATTTATATGGAATTTATATGAAGTAGCCTCTTTCTAACAAAAAAATAATTATTGAAATCGGACACCGTGTTACAGAATTATCGATGAACATACATAAAAAAAAATATCGCGATGAATTGAGAACCTCCTCCTTTTTTGAAGTCGGTTAAAAAAACGCTAAAATTTAGCCCCTTATGGGCGACTATTTTAAATTTAAAAAACATGAGTAAATATTATCCATTATGGTAGGTACTACCTAAAAATTGTAACTAGATACGGAGTAGTTTTGATAAAAAAATGTTCATACATTTTTATTTTTTTTTCTTCTCTACCTCTATTTCAATAATGTTTTTGACTTTATTAAGATACTATGGGATATTCCATCATCAATGAAATCATTTCAATAGCACGTTTTTATACTAGTTTAACAAAAAAATTATCGCTTTGGTTTTCCATTTAACTCAAAGAAAATAGCCATAGAACTTTGGTTTACACACAATACAAACATTATTACAAATTTATATCGGTACTGTTATAATTTTATGCGCAAATTAAAATTAAATGTTTCTTACCTTCTCCTCAATTTTTCCTGCAATTCGATAAACCTCTCATAATATTCTGACATTCGAGCATTTACTGCTAAATCCATTTTGATTTAAAGTAGCAAATTAATTTTTAAAAATAGCACGTGTCAATAATAATTATAACAACCCCTGTCAGCTCGCCGTACCGTACAATGCAAACAAATTGAACTGCCGCTCTCAAGTTTAGGATAGCTTGTGACGCAATACACTATGCAACCGAAACGTAGTAAGAGTTGTCTAACTATAGGGCATAATTCTTGATTTATCATCTGTTTCCAGACCCATTACAACGAAACCAATTACTTTCCGGGAGTAAGTGCAATTATCTGATAGTTCAATCAGTTAAATTACATTTGATAATTTGCACGGCACAATTTTAATCTTCAAATTAATAGTATCGCCCTCAGAGGTCTGAATTCTTTTTATGGCGATCGCCATGTGAGACCGAATTGAATGATGACAAACACGGAATGTTGATCAAAAAGGATGCGACTTGGAATATCTGCAAACTTCATTTTCTTCATAACAAGGACACACGCGATATGGTATTAACGGTGCCAGGATAACAAGGATACGAACTTGACCTCGGATCATAAAATAGATTATAAACAAAATAAAATGTATCTACACTGAAAAAATCAAACGTAAAGGTTACAGATATTATGGAAATTTAAAATATTTTACAAAAGCAAACGATTAATTTTTTTTTATTGTTCCAAGTAATATTTCATTTTGTATATTATAAAAAAAAGAACCAGAGCGTATGGTATTTGGTATGGCATTCTGCTGAAGCGTCCACCGTCTACATATAGGATGTGAGACATATTGGCGCCAGTCGCCGCTTTAAGCGTATTTGTAATTTGTAGGTAATCCACATTCCGAGACGCCAACCAATAAAGAATGGTTGTTTCGGGTTTCGTGCGTCGGAAATTGGGTCCCCGCATTATTTTATGATCTAATTAAATTTTAAACTTATTTAACGATATCTGAGGGCTGTAGATATTGTGTTACGACTTCAAATTGTAGAAACGAAATTGAGGACCTTTGGAATCATTGTCCGGCGCCTCCATCATGTGACTAACTCCTTATGAGCCTCCATGTTGCCACTTGAGACAGACGACGCCCTTGCAATCGTAACGAGGGAATAGGACAAGTCACAAGTGACGGCTTATAGGTTCGGCGCTCGGGCTCAAAAACCTTTCGATGCAGCTTTTGAAACTACTGCAGTTTTGGATAGTTCAGATGGAGGTACAGAAAATTCTAGGGTTCAAGTTGTTATTACAAATTTCAAGAGACTAACACTAACGAACTTTAAACGTATTGATACAATAAAAAAATTCTGGAGGTTGAAAAGAAATAATTTTAGGTGACGTGCAGTTAAATAACCGCAATTATAAGCAAAATAGGTAAATTTAACAAAATATTTTACTTACGGAAGCTAATCACAGTGTGACATGTCTTCTAGTTTTAACCTGTGGTGAAGTAAAAGTCGTGAGTGGCGCCAGCTATTAAAATAAAAGCTGCCCACACGCCATTTTTGCGACCCTTGCGTACACTTAAAGTAGTTCCAGTGTCGAATCAATTAAAGTCCAAGAGGTCACTTGCAAATGAAACTGAAAGAACCTTAAAACCGATAATACCTACCTTACTCAACCTAAACGGTGTAATCAGTCACCTTGTACCTTTTATCCTAAAGGTAATTCTGGAAGAGCTAGATAAAGTGTGACGTATAGTTTAAAGAAACACAGGAAGTTTATAAAAAGAGTTAATAATATATTTAAAACGGTAACCACGGTGGAGCAATACGAAACCCAAATAATTTGTAGTCTTCATTTATAATCAATTGCACAAAAATAAAAATATAAATCAATAAAAGAGGGATATTCCTAATGAGCGGTGAAAAGCTCTAAGGTAATTAGCAGTATAATTAACCCAAAGAAAAGTGTTTACAAAAAAAATATATATCACCCATACAGCAAACATTATTTCAGAAGTGTTTCAGAAATATTACAAACGTTTCAAACATAATAACATTTCAAGAACAAGTTAATGAAATATTTTAGTTAAATATTTCACTGAAAATGTTTCTGAAACATGGTATGCATGTTATACAAAAGGTTTACTATACTGGTTATGTTGTAAAAGGCCAACACTTAATGAAGAATTTCTGATTTGTAAGAAGAAGATGGGATATGTAGTTATTTTATTTCATCCTATGGTGATCCTATGTCCAGCCATTCTAAATAATTATAGATTTGAGTTGTCGGTTTTTGCCATTTTTTTTTTTTTTTATTATTTATGCGTTATGCTGTTGTTATATGGGAAGCAGAATATGTCTTTAGAAATTGAGGTGAGTATAGGTGAAAACTGACAATATGCACTTTATTATTATTTGTGAGTGAGATGACCTACTACAGAAATAATTCTTGTTTAGGTTAGGTTTATTTACTTTATTTTATCTCTTCTCTGACACGAGTGATGCCACTCCGTTTATCAAATTTACAGGCATTTTTAGTCTTATTTTTATTTAAATATAACCTACATTTGCTGTCCCTCCACCAGTTTTATTTATTAGTTCTACAGCTGATTGCAAAGCGGAGCTTCATGTTTTGTTTAGGCATGAGTATTGTTTGTTTTATTATAGTTAATTTAAAACAATATTAATAAAATTATTGTTAATCAAATAATTTGTATAAATCCTTTTTAATTACCTATATTTGTTTCAAATTAGTGCATTTAAAGGAATTGGTGGAAATGAAGAGATTCGCTTTTATATTTCATGAAATAATGTTTAAAAATTATTTATGTTTGTTTGTTTAAGAATCAATGTTTGAGTTTTGTGTATTTTAAATAAACATGTATATTTTTAAATGTCTTTTTTTTAATCTAATAATATTTTTGAAAAAAACTAGCATACATTTCTGAAATATTACTATAAAATATTTCTACAAGATTTCAAATTTTCATTTCAGGAATATTACTGTGAAATGTTATATTTACAGGACATTTTTACGTTTCAGGCACATTTCAGAAATGTTTCTGGGATGTTTCGTAATATTTATACATTATATGTTTCAATGTAAAATTTTTGAAATATTTCCGAAATGTGTTTGTGGTGTATGGGCAATAATACGATTATATCCACGGTATTTCCAATCAGCGGTGAAACCGCCAGGTTAATTTGCAAGATAATTAACCTAATGAAAATGTTTACAAAATTTAAGCTCCTTAGAAATAAATAAAAAATAAGAAAGCTTAGTTCCGCAATTTTAAATAATTTTCGAATCACTCTGTATACTATACGTTGAAATAAATCTTTGTGACGATAACTAGAACAAATCAATGAAACGGTTATACTCACGGTAATCTTAAAAGTTAATTAACGTAACAGAAATATTTACAAAATTAGTAGGTTAAATACAATTCTCATTCTAAAATAATCTATTTATTTTAATCGGCATTACTATCGAAAAGCAATATTTTCTCCCGATAAATTCAGAGAAAAAAGTTGCGGCACCGGTCAGCCTAGCGGTGTTAACCCATAGATTATGATCAGAAAAATTAAACTTAGATTCAGCTAGTTTAATTGTTGTTTTCCATTTAAAGGATTATTCTCAAAGGAACGCGGTTTAATATAGTTGATACAGTGACGGATAAGAGAGCAACGTTGTCTCGTGGTCGACGGTCTGCAGTAAATTAAAGATTCACTGGTTAACGAATTAGTGAGGGTCTATTGACTTGGATAACTTTGATGTTGAGAAAGTTAGTCGTTGAAACAGGTCTATGAGATCACTGGCCTTGCTTCTCTTAGAAACTACCACATATAAAACTAAGAATAAAGGACACACTAAACAAGTTTAAGTTGCGAAGTTTTTTAGTAAAAATGTTTATAAACATTTTGCAGGATAGTCTCAAGAGACATATAATTGCAGATTTGATTGCAAGGGTCATACAAGAGGGCGTTACGTAAATAAGACTTATAAACTCACCACTGACACATTTATTATCAAAGTAGATAATGTTTAGTTATTAGAAAGTAGTGTAAAAACATTTGAGGAAACACTAAATTTATCTTGGACATACAGAAAGAGATTGCAGATTTTCTGTTGAGTTTTTAAGAAAAAATTAACCGTAGTGGATGTGTTACAAAATTGTTGTTGGGTTATAAAAAAATAAAAGCAAAAAACATTATATTTAACGTATATAGTGCTTTTAATAAATGTTTTAAACTTATTTTTTATATTAAAATAAATTGTTTGAATATTAATATACAGGAAATGGGTCAAATAGTTTTCATATGCGGTTATTTTAGATAATTGTAACACAGTTTAGCAGGCGTTTGATTGAAGTGGGTCCTTTCTGAAAACGAGATCTTGTGAATTTTTTGTTCTCATGGGGTCTGCTCGTTTAGTTTTCATATCGGGTTTGCTCCTTTTGCTCTCTCAGAGGGTTTCCTCATTATGCTCTCTAATTCATATCTGCTAAAATAGATAGATACATTGTATTCAGAGCTGTCACGAATCATAAAAAAAAATTAAATCAATTTACCTTTTACTAAATGATTTAAACCAAAAATACTTTTGACCATAAAAAAATATTTAAACCATAAATATTTTTAATATGTTTGCATATTTAAATCACATTGTAAACGATTTAAATGAGGAGGAATTTATCTTCTTTGATAATTGCCAGTCTTACTATTATTCCACCTTGTTTTATGAATTAGATACCAGTGATACCAGAGTAAACATTGATTGTGTTTCCTAAGTGTAGATGGCGTTACTTTGCGACTTTTGATCCACACCCATCAACCAGCTTTGACTAGCGAGGAAGTGTAACGCTTCTACAGGTTCTATTCGAGATTAGAATCGAGTATGTCTATTTCTTGCTGATGAGTGCTAATAAGGACGAAACCGGTACAAGAATGACATTCTCCTTAGGAAGCAAAATTAAAGTTAGAGCGTTGAAAGTTATTTTCTATCTCTGCTATTTTCCTTTTCATATAATGCAATGCCTGTTGATGAGTATTTGTTTTCATGAGGGAAACGGTCGCTCGACGTTATGGTGACACGGATTTCTTTTCTTGTTTTTCCTTTGTTTTGTTTTTAAATTGGTAACATTTGAAAATTGAAATTTATGTCCTTTAATAATTTAAATACTCTTTTTATTTAGGTCATTACAGTGTGTTTTAAATACCTTTTTAATTTAAATCAGTAGTGTGATTTAAGTCATAAAAAATCGATGAATTAAATCATTTATGAAAAATACTTTCAATAAACTGAATCACTATGACTAAAAATTTAAATTATACCTATATAGTTTTATAATTCTAGCCTGCAGAATCAGAAAAAAATTAACACCAACTTGTGTGGCAAATATATCTAATTTAACTCCATATTTCTACGTCGAAGCGTTAAATCAATAGAAGTTTGGTTCCATCTTTAACAGCAATCTTATATACAGATAAGCACAATTTGGATGAGTAAATAATCAATAACATCTTAGTAGACTCAAAAGTAATCATGAAGTGATTTTAGTTTACCTACAATAGGTTTGCTCCTTTTTGATGTGTCTCCTGACTCGTGCAGAGATGCATTTGTAAACTAATCACTGCGCATATCAGTCCGTTTATTCGTCCGTTGTTTAATCAGCGACTTGTACTTGTTGGAACGCAAAATGCAATGGAATTGGACAAATCAAACACATGTTTTGTGAATTGGTATTTTGAACATTATTTAAAATACAACAAAATACATTTATTTAGCTGTCTCGAATGCTCTATATACATGTATAATTTTGAAACCTTAAGATGTTTATTTTTATTTAAAATAAATACGTATTTTACATTAAAAAAAACCGTACACAAAATAAAAATAAAAATTATGCATTTCAAAATGAAAGAAATTGAAACCCAAGCCACTCCAAACTAACTTTAAATCCCAACAATTACAAACAAATAGCACTAACGAGAAGAGACGTTCAAATGCGCATGTACTGATAAATTGTACAAGCGATGAAGCTCTGATCATTTTGACAATCCTCCGACTCATTCATGTACGAATCAGAAAATACTGACAGTTCATCCGTTATTTTGTAGGAACGGACTATTTTCAATGCGTCTGACGTCCTTCTGATGATCAGATTCGCTGTTGGAACAAACCTAATATCTATCTTTACTTACAATTACATCACAATCTTTCTGACACTTTATGGGCTGCTTCCTTACTATTTGCTATTCTCGATCCAAATTGTAATGCTCGTTTCTTTAAATAAGCTGCTTTTTTTAATCCTAATTGGAATGCTACACATCTAAGAAGAATTTTATCACCAAATCCATGAGGTAGTTTATCGGTAGGGAATGATCTACAAATTAACATTAAGGTTAGTTTAAAAATTGTACAGAATAAGAAGAAAGTAAATGATAGTGAAGTGCATGATAATCGGCCCTGACACCATCCCTGCTGATTCATATGTAAAATGATCTAAATCCGAATATGATCCTCGGTTCCCCTCCATCACACACCATTTTCGAAGGAGCCCCTCCCACCTGTTTTTATCACTTTTTATAAAAAGATTATTTTGGCCGTAGGAAAGGTGAAAAGTTCTAAAACATGAACATTTGTAGCAAGTAGTAGTAAAATAGATTTGAGGGGATTTGCATATTGAATAAAAAAAAATTGTTCCCTGCAGTAAAATATATTCCATGTGTTTAGTTTCCTTAGGGCAGATTCCACCGTTGTGTTAAACGTAGATTAAAATGACACTGTTAATGTAAAAATGTCATTTTAAACTTCGTTTAACACAATAACAGTGGAATCGGTCCTTAGTCGTTTTTTTTTTTTATTTTAAGCTATTGAAACCATATAGTAAATGGTCTAATGACTCTTCAATTAGCCCATAAAATACTGATTATATTGAATCAAATGTGTGGTTACCACTTTGGTAATGACCTGTTACATGTTTTTCCATCTTAAGTTCCATGTTTCTTCGAATTTAGCTGTACCATTCGATCATATAAATACTAACAGCCATATTCACAATGCGTTTTTAAATAGTTACCTACTTGTAAATCCTTAAAGAAACGTCAATCCAGAGGAAAAAGTAGAGTTGAACGATGTCGTGACACTTTGAATCGTTACTGTCATTAGTAATATTCATATAAATAAGGTTAGGATTTCTCAAATCATTAATAAATTACTTATATATTTGTTAAATTTTTTCCTTAAAATGAAATGGATAGAAAAACGTATAATGTATATCAGTTTACCAAGATTAAATTAATTAAATAACAGTTCGTGAAATATCGTCCTCTACTGAATATTCTTTGTAATGTAATCTTTAAGGTTTTACATGTGGGTAGAACTCGATTACTATTTGAAGAGTATATTGCGTAACAAAATATCTAATTTCGCGCAGCTTATTTGACAACGTTGATCTAAAATCGCTTACGGTAGGGGTACCTGATAACCAGGGCTTTCTTTAGCAGTAGCGTGTGTACATTTATAAAATATTTTAAATCTGAAATACTCGTAAATGAAAAGTATTAGTCAGAATTTCGACTATTGTTTGTCAAATTTTTAATAAACTGTAAATTAATAAAACAACTGAAAATTTTACTTAATAATAAATATATTTGTGATTATCTATTTCAATTTTCAATATCCGACAATTCTGAATCCCACTCGTCAGATGATTCCGTATTTACATTAAATATCAAGGAATCTGTATATCCATCCATTAAGTGTTCTTTATGAATATACGCATCCTCATATTTCGAGCAATGATCAACCACGTTTGCCCATTTCTCGGGGGTTATATTCTGAAATTTCTCGCTTGCTAATGTTTCAACATCATTTAATTTAAATGTTGTGTTATGTTAGCCCACCCAGTATTTTACTTGGGCCCATATTTTCTCTATGGGATTTAATTCGGGATGGTATGGAGGCAAACGCAGAACGTCGTGTCCACTTTCTTGTAGAAGGCTATCTAAAAGAAATGTTGGTGGTGGTCTGTGAACTTTGATGAGTCTGTAAAGTTCCGGTTTTGTCATTTTAGTATCATGCGGAATGCCACGTTGAACGAGCCAGCTAATCAAATTTGCCTTTTTAGTCGGGCTTGTAATCGATTTTTCAAATTTCAAAGAATGGTCGTTTATAAAACTTACTTTTTTACTCTTTAAATGATTTATTTAGGTATAAATTGTACTTACCAAAATACACACAAAATTGAATATTTGAAAAACTAAGAAATAAACGTTTCTTTGGATCAAATCGAAAAACTAAACACAAGAAAATAACAATGAAAGTAAATGCAATAAGTAAAACGCTTACTACGCTACTAAATGTGTCTGTGCAATATTATAAATAAGATGCTAGGAGGTGTGTGACCACGCCTACTGCCTATAAATTCAATCTGGTTTCTGCGCATTGTAAAGTAATGTAGGTACTATACGGATAATAATCAAGCTCTATATTTAAAGATGTTTTGTGAATTAGGTTACAGATCTTGTCTATTTTTTCTGTCACCAACATGAAACGGGAATAATCTGTAGAATGAGATAGCATCATATCGTTGAAGTTTCTCTTGTATTTATTTTGGTGACTATTTGTTTAAAAAGCAATGATTAAGACGTGCAGTTTGTAAAAAAGAATATAACTGTAGATGTCGTAAAACAAAAATCCAAATAGAAAAATATGCTTTATAATTATTATATTTTTCAAATTTTTAGAGAGAAATCACGGATAAATTGTTCGTATGAGTAGATAATAAGATTTTAGATCTATATGTTACGAATCTAGTGTTTATATGATGAAATACTGATGAAGATTAAGAAGCGGAAACAATTTGGCTCAAGCTTTTTTAAATTTATTTAAATGGAATATTTTCTGCTACTTATGAGCAATCAAATGTCGAACGTTCACTTAGGGTATATTGTTTCATATTTAACAATTCATTAAAATGTAGAAATCTAATAAAACTTGTGGTAAATACAGATATTACCATACATCAATTTTTAACGCTTTTACCATTACAATGTATAATATTCTAAAAACGTCCTAATTCCAATATCTTACAAAGTATAAAGAAAAAAACCTAAAAATTGAACTAAAGCAAAAACTAATTCATATACATACTTATCCCAACATTGTAAACTATGAACAAAATTTACAACATTCTCGTCTAGGTATGGTGTACGCAACTGTCTTCCATGATCGGACACAACTCTATCATCTCTGGCAAGATTTCTATAAGGTAAATTTTGCCAATCATCATCTAATTTATTATGTAATCCAAGCCAAGAGTCTTTTTTGAAAGCAGCTCTATGTTTTGTATAACCTCCAAATAGTTCATCAGCACCCATACCAACTATCAGAACCTAAATGTGTTTAAGGTAAAGTCCATTATTTAAAAAAAAAATGTTACACTATAAATATAAGCTAATAATGAAGTAACATGAATACTGTAAACATTAACCAACTATCAAACCAATTTTTAGGGACCTCTAACATTATTACATTATTAACTTCTAAGAGATAAATAGCACATTATATTTTGTTTCAGAATGAACTGTTAATGTGGAGGTATATGGGGTGACAATTTTAAAACCAGCTGACAGGTGAACGAGCCGGTCACGAATTTAAAACACAGGGTGATTTGATATAAACTTAGACTGAATATTAGACATTTCAAACAAAATAGTTGCCTGATGAAGATGCCATACAAACCCCAATTTTACATTGAGTTCAGTGTTCTGTGATTGAGTTGATGTGTTTGAGTGCAATATTATGTTCTTTATATTACACACCTTTCATTTCTAGTACTGTAATACAAAAAATATCTTCTTGTAAAACGAGCAATTCTAGTTTTTACGTGACACTAAAAACACAAACGTATTTTTGTTCAAAATCCACCCTCAAAGCAAAAAGTTACCGTTATTTTAACTAATTATGTACAAACGTTTGTGTCAAAAGCGCAAAACACTTACTGAAGTGGTGGGAATTCTTGAAATTCAAAACTACCAATCCACGACCACATACATCACAATGTATATTCCATAGTCGTTGTTTATTAACTGGTTCGTTAGGCAAAAAACAATATTTACGGGAATAAAACATATCGAATTAAACTTTAAAAACTCTAATAAATCGAAGGACCATCTTAACAATACGTCCTTAAGAAAACCTTTACATAAAACCCTTAACTATTTACAGAAACTGTCAGAAATTAAAACTAAGCGCGACTCTTCACAACTGAAGCCTACATTATACTACGAGTTTTAAGACCAAGGACCCTTCGAGGAGTCTAAAGATACACTCTCGCTGCTGAGCACATGCCATTTACAGAGAATAGAAATTGTATTTCACATTTTCTAGAAATTGTTATACTTACAAGGAATTATTCTCTCAATTATCCGGTCGGAACATGAAATACAAAGCTAAATTACTACTATATTTATGCAATACTGGTACAACGCTCAAATTCAGAAACTTTGAGTTCTGACAATGAATTACAACAAAATAATTTATTAATCGAGAGCGTTTCAAAGAATATGAACACTCTGTCGATTTTTGTTTTTATTTTATTTAAAAAGAATTGAGTGAACGCTCATTTGCTAGTCAAACAAATATCAAATAAATAGTGAATTGTAAATATTGTCAATGTATAAATAAAAAAAGATAAAAGTACTCACTCTACAATGTGAATCATCTATTCCTCTACTAGCAAACCAAAGAGCACAACCTAAGTCATCATCTATAATAGTTTTTAATGGATAAATTAAATTTGCTATATGATTATTTCTCTTTTCTTCCAATTCTTCTTTAGTGATATTAATTTCTATAAATCTCCAATTCCTATCTGGACAAAGTACTTTCAGTTCTTCTAAAGTTTGCAAACCTTTAAAAACAAATTACCTACATAGTTGGAAGAATTTTACATCCAAATCAATTTACTTTTTAAAAGCCTAACTCTAATTTAGTTTTTTTTTTTTAGATGAAAACAGTTTAAACATATTTTAATGCGGTATTTATGTTTAGCTCACTAACGATGACATAAAAGAAATAATCCATTAAGTGAACGATTTATGTAAAGTAACTCAACAAATATACTGTAGACTACCTTTTCATTAGAGATAAATTTAATTTTTTTTTATTTTACTTGGTTCAATATAAAAATTTAAATGCTATATAATTTTTTAGGTCCTGTTCAGTTTTTAAATACTGGAAAATGAAAATTGTCTATTTTCGATTTTTAAACATTTTGTTCCTTTATATACTGGTTATCAATATCTTGAGATTAGGTTTGGAGTCAAAATTGTCCAGAGCTTTCGGCCCCCATCAGTAACTGTCTTCAATAAAAAATTTTATTTAATTATTGTAGCCATGGTTTTATATTAATACAAACATTTTTTATGATTAGAATTAGTTTTTTGTTAGTTGAAAATTATATTTTATTACTAAATATGTAACTTTTTTATCTATTACACCTAACATTGTGCTGAAACTGATTCAAAGAAAAATAATTTTGATGTCGAAAAAGGGGGAGAATTTATTAACCATGTTGTTATTTTTAATGTATGTGTGATTAATTTTATGAGGGATTAATTTTGAAAACTGAAAATGCCTACAATTTGCAGCTCGCTTTGGATATCCTAAACCGTTGGTATCTGGACAATGTTTTACAATTAAATATTTCCAAATGTAAAGTTGTTTCCTTTTCTCGTCAAAATTATCCTTATTTATTTGATTACTCTATCAATATTGAGACTCTTGAAAGGTGTAATACATTTTTAAAGATCTCCGTGTTAAATTTGACTTTAAATTTACTTTTAGTGAGAATATTGAAAATATAACTGCCACCGCGTCTAAGTTGCTGGGATATTGCATACGTAATTGGTCTAGTTTTTCTAATGTTGAAACTTTAAAATTGTTATACATTACATTTAATAAAAGTAAATTGGAACATTGTAGTCTAATTTTGTCACCTGTCTATCAGAATTCCATACAAACTATAGAACATGTTCAGAGAAAATTTCTGAAATACATTTATTTTAAATCGTATGGACATAATCCTATAAGAGGAATAAAACATGCACAACTAATCAATACATTTGACATGGAACTTCCTATTGACAGGCGCAACTGTAGGTCCCTCTCTTTTTTGTATAAATTAGTCAATGACAAACCCCCCACTCCGACCGGCACAGCGGTGCGGCGTTGAAAGCCGTGCATCGTCTAACGTCGTTTTAGTTCGGCAGACTTCGGCACGGTGTTTGTGTACATGCGACTAGACGTATGCGTGTAGACTAGCTGCTAACTGCTCATAACTGATTCTCTTTTAGACAGAATTTCGGAAAAATTGAATTTGAAAATGAATAATGATCCACAAGATTCCACAACAAAATATGGGACCACCATTGACGCGGTATTTTCCAGATATTTAAAGGATATCTAGTCTCAAACTTATGTTTCTTATTTCAGTTACCATAAACCTATAGTTTCAATGATAAAATTCCTGAATAACCTACATGTACTGTAAGATAATAAAAATATTTTAAACAATATTAACTTCTCATTTATTCAATAAAAGAAAAAAAAATTGTTTTCTTACTGGTCACCACGCTCAAAAAGTGTAACTTGAATTAATAAAGAAAAAAAAATATAGCTTTACCGCGGCAGTCCCGGAGTGCCACACGTATTTTTTATTGTCAAACATCTTAGTTAGATCTCCAATTATAAGTATGTGCAATATTTTTAACAAAGTATGCCAAAAGTGTGACATTAATAATGATCATATTAATACCATCATAAAGGCTTATTGAGAACTAAAAGGCCAATAGTTCATTTTTTTCTTTTATTTTATTTCTACTTCTCTTTATGCACCTTATGTTATTTTTATGCTATTTTTTATGTTATTTTTTATATATTTTTTGTTATTGGGTGATCCTTTTGAAAATAAACACATTATTATGTGGGATTGATTTTATATGTGTTCTCACACCATGAGTGGCACATAAAAGGCAGCTATCTCTGTGCTGTGTCATTTTAATTAATACTGAGCTGAAGATTTTAATGTAATTCTTCAGCCTAAATAATAAATGCCAAACCCAGAGTCTTTGGGTCAAAATGATGATGTTGGTAACCTTATCTTTAGTGGAAGAAATATATTGGAAAAAAGCTCAATTGAGTTTTACATTGATCTGTTAAAATACCATAATGTTTTATTACTCAATTAAAGCATAGTATTTATTTTCATTTGTTTTACTTTCAGTTTGATATTGCAAATGTGACCAAATACTATTTGGGTTAGACTACAGAAAGCTTCAATCCCGCTAAAATATATCTAGATAAGAAATTGTAGGATCTAAAAAGCTAAAAGCGGAACGGGAATAACAGAGTTCACACTTTTTAGTATATATGATTTTTATGGGATCTTTACTTAAGGCCAAATAAAGTATTACTTATTATTAATTCAAAATTCTGTAGGTACATTTGAATAACAGTATTCACAAGTATATTTTCTAAGAAATTTTCATTTTGAAATGGTTGAATTCAACTTTTTTATTATGATCTATTTAGAAGTATACCATAGCATTAAAGCCTATTTCATTAATTAAGGGTTGTTACCTGTTACTCTATCTGGAGACATAAAACCATTTGCTTCATCAAAAGAAATGTTAAATAAATCAATAGGTTGTCCTTTATCAACAAATTGATTTGATAGAAGTGCCAATATTGAACAATCTACTCCTCCAGAAAATAACACTCCAACAGAAGAATGACTACAACTATATTTCTCAAGAATGCACATTTTACATAACTTTGGTTGATACGAAATTCTTCTTCTGACTGCATCTTCCAACAGTTCTTTTAATATAGTTACATTACAGGACCATTGGCAATTATTAAGTAAAAGAGAAAAAGCTTCATTAACAGATAAACCTTGTAATCTACTTAATAAAGCAATTTTATCATTATCAGGTCCTAAAAATGTTGTTTCTTCTGCTATAGAACAATTATTTACTTTAAATGTTTTATTCAAAAATGCTTCTAATTCACCTAATTTAGTTGTATATTTCTGGCTATATGGATTCAGTTCTAAAGTATCACTACTCAGATCCCATGAAAATGTTCCTACAGATGGTAACTCCATAAACTCAAAATCTTTGGTCCTTTTAGCAACACTAGATAATATTAGTACATTTTCATTTTTACCAATAAGTAAACTGCGCCTACCAAATTTATCCCTACCAAAGAATATCTTATTTTTTAATTTATCAAAGTAAATAAACGCATATGGTCCTTGTAATTTACAGAGCGAGGCATGAATGTCTTCAGATTCATTCAAAATATTAAACAAATATTTTGTATCACCATATTCCTTTCGAAATTCTTCAGGTACTCCATTAAATAAATCCCCATTATATATTAAAATTGAATTTTCATTATGAACAGGTTGTTTTGTTAAAGTGTTTCCTTGCAACCAAAGAACACTTGCAGTGAATAGCAAGGTAACATTATTTTCTGTAATCCACTTTTCAAAACCGATGTGATCTGGGCCTCTTCTGGAAATAATTTCTTGAAATTTATTAAGCTACAAAGTAATAACATATCAAATAACACTCATTACCCAACATCTCTTACTTACAATATCTGAAATACATATATTAACAGAGGAACGTTTAGAAATTATTAAAGTAATTCCACACATAACTAAAATAAGTATAACTATAGAAGTATGTGATTTGCTAGTTTCATTTGCATATAAGAGATAAAAATACCGTTTTGTGTTTTGGATATTCACACTTCACATTCACATAAAAATAAAAACAAAACCAAAACCGGCAAAACCTCTCTTTTTCTTCTTTATTGGTAATCATTTGGCCTTGTTCTTGCAAAGCCTCAAGAACATATCATTTCCGTTAGGTTTGTTCTGGTTCTCAAAATGAAAACTGTTTTGAAACTGCGCCGGACCGTATGCGTAAAGGCAAAAAATCCCCGACTGTTTGAAATTCTTGGAAAACCAGAACACGTCATGAAGGTGTTTTGTTTATTGTTTATTATAATAATGAAGTTCCTTTTGAAAGCTCAGCTTCAAATAACATTTGCATGTATATGTTTATCATTATCATCACATTTCAATGGAATAAATAAAAACAGAATATTAAAAAATTAATAATTCTAAAATTGCTTTAATTTACAAATAAAACAAGAACAAGAGACATTCGTCCACATATAAATAAACAATTTGGGATTGTATACGTTTCGTATGGTCTAAAAAGCCAATACAATATTCATAACACTTCAAAAACGCATGCGCGGTCAAAACAGTCCGAGTCGATCCACACTCCCAAGCATGAACACTTTTTGACTGTTTACAACAATCACGGATTATTTCGGATACGAAACCAGAACACTGGACTGAGAGATCCGAAGTAGTCCCAGAAAAACCAGAACACTTTTTGTCTACTGCGCATGAGCCCGACAGTTGTGGATCGTTATTTCTCAAAACCAGAACAGACCTGTTATATCGGGGGAATATTAGAGATGGACAGGAACTATAACAAATCCATAAAGGGTAGATCACACTTGTTCCATTGCGCCATCCTTGGGTACAGAACAATGAACTGGAGTGGGGTAGAAAGCCAATGTGCATCTTGCACATATCAAAGTATGTGGCATCTTGTATCAATAGAACAAGATGCGACTCTATGGGCACAGCCATTTTTATTTCTCATCTCACTCGGGAGTATTTATAATAACCATTTTCTGTTTCACATTGTTATTGTTCAATCCACAAGCTGGTGGATCAGACAATAACAAGGTGAAATAGAAAATGGTTGTTATAAATACTCCCGAGTGAGATGAAAAATAACCTGTGTTCGCCCATAGAGTCGCATCTCAAGCCTATTGACAAGCATTCTACCCCACTCTTGGTACAGAAAGATTAAGGTTCGTAGTTCGTATTATTTTATAAACAAAACTCAGCTGAGTCGGACTTGGGTAAGTTGTCCTTGAACTAAAATCGAAGTTCGGTTCTCCGAGCGGCGGTTCGGTTATATTTCACTTTACCTAATATATGGGTTATATCTCACTTGGCGTAATCTATGGTTATATCCATAGGTTATATCCAATGAACTGGAGTGGGGTAGAATGCTTGTCAATAGGCTTGAGATGCGACTCTATGGGCAAAGACAGGTTATTTTTCATCTCACTCGGGAGTATTTATAACAACCATTTTCTATTTCACTTTGTTATTGTCTGATCCACCAGCTTGTGGATTGAACAATAACAATGTGAAACAGAAAATGGTTATTATAAATACTCCCGAGTGAGATGAGAAATAAAAATGGCTGCGCCCATAGAGTCGTATCTTGTTTTATTGATACAATATGCACATTGGCTTTCTACCCCACTCCAGTTCATTGGTTATATCCATATGCCGCGTTTGAGAATCCACATCGGATGCATCTGAGATGTTATGAATTTTTTATCACGTGATAGAGAATTAGATCTGAATGTAGATGTAATAAACAAACGCTCTAGACTTTATTTGGTCACGTGACAAATGTCAATGACAAGTTAGAAGTTTATACTTATTAAATTTGACTTTTGAGACTACAAATCAACCTAAATTTGAAATATAAACAAAAATTAAGCAAACTAATCACTTTTATATTCATGCTAGCATAAACAAAGGAAAAATTAACAAACAAGGCTTCACAGAACACTTACTTTCTAGCATGGAACAAACATCTCATTCACATCTCATTTCAAATCGAGATGTAAAAAATGTAATCTGAACAGGTACATCTGGGATAAAAAAACGCAGATGTAGATGTAGTAGATGTGTCCGATGTGGATAAAAAAACGCTCGCGATGTGGATTCTCAAACGCAGCAATAGATGTTATTGCCGCGTTTGAGAATCCACATCGGATGCATCTGAGATGTTGCGAATTTTTTATCACGTGATAGAGAATTAGATCTGAATGTAGATGTAATAAACAAACGCTCTAGACTTTATTTGGTCACGTGACAAATGTCAATGACAAGTTAGAAGTTTATACTTTATTAAATTTGACTTTTGAGACTACAAATCAACCTAAATTTGAAATATAAACAAAAATTAAGCAAACTAATCACTTTTATATTCATGCTAGCATAAACAAAGGAAAAATTGACAAACAAGGCTTCACAGAACACTTACTTTCTGGCATGGAACGAACATCTCATTCACATCTCATTCCAAATCGAGATGTAAAAAATGTAATCTGAACAGGTACATCTGGGATAAACAAACGCAGATGTAGATGTAGTAGATGTGTCCGATGTGGATAAAAAAACGCTCGAGATGTAAAAAATGCATCCGATGTGGATTCTCAAACGCGGCATATATCGCGTGATTTTAGAGATGGGTAGTAACAAATCCGTAAATGTACATAACAGTTACAGATTTGCTAATATCCATCTCTAAATTCCAGTGTAACACCGGAACTACCTGGAACTTTAGAGACGTTGTAACCGAACTTCGATTTTACCCACCGTGCTTTGTGGATTTACCTTACCTTAAGTCCGACATGGCCCTACCTTCATGTTTATTATGATATAATTTGATGAACAAGAGTAAATGTTCTGTGCGCTTATCGCTTTAGTTTTTCGATGCTCTTATCAAATTATCATTTTACCTCTTCTTCGAAACATCCAAATCGTGTCCAAATCCAGGAAAAACCCAAACTGGTAGTTTCAGTTCAGTCTTTTTGATGCCAGGATTAAATTTATAATGGCGTATTTAAAATGTTTTCTTTTAATTTTAATGTGCGATTTCTCTTTAGCTCAGAATCATATTGTGTTTAAAGAATTAAATTTAAAATATAGTGAAAATAAAACAATCTGGCTCAATAATTCTGTAGAGTATATTTTGGAATTTAGTGATACAAATGTAAGTAATTTTGAATAAATGTTTAACTAATATACTGGTTAATTTTTATGTTATCATTATTTAAAGTTTTGTAATATAAATACATATTGCTAAGTACATAAATAGAAATGGTTAATTATATAAATCCATTTAGATTTATCTATGAATACAATGTAAGTACACCTAATTAGACAATAAGAATTTGTCTTTTTTTTGTGTGTGTCATCGGCTTCAACTGCTAAGGTTTTTTGCCTCGTTTTCTGTGTAGGCTTTGTTACTGTTTTTCAGCGCCACTTTAGGAACGGCACTGTTAATTAGGACCATTCACTGTTGGGTTCTAATTAACAGTGATGTTCCTAAAGTGGCACTGGGAAACAGTAACAAAGCCTACACCGAACACGAGGCGAAATAAACTTAGCAGTTGAAGCCGATAACACACAAAAAAAGACAAATAGGTACTTGGAAGTAATAAATCTTTTTCAGTAATATTTCCCCTTTTTTTTATTAGAAATTAGCCTATTCTGAGCTTCCTCCAAGAATATGGATTGAAAGTAATGCTACTTCAAATGCTCCTTTAATGATTGTGGCTAGGCAAAGTAAAGAAATGCTCTCTTGGCAGCTACCATTAGAGATTGAAGGTGAGGAAGGAGAAGCTATTTATAATTATACTTCCAGGACAATGTGCCATGATATACTAAAGCATTATAGAAAAGAAGGTAAAATTAAACTAAAATAGGTATACAAATAAAAAAAATATCCTGCCTGCATTTTTCATGTTTCAGGCATCTCTATACTATAAGATTATTTTTACTAAAAAGTAGTTCATTAAGAAATTTTTTTTTATCTATAGTAGTTTCATAGGCTATTGTAATTTTTGTTTTAGGAAGAATAAGGATAAACCACGAAAGTCCTATCATATCTGTATCGACATCTTCAATAGAAACAATTCAGTTTACAGTAAATGTTCAATATCAAACTAATTTTTCATTGCAGCTGAACCAAGAATACAATTTTACCATTACTCCAAGTGAACCAAGGTAAATAGTTTTTTCATCATTATAGGTATAAATGTACATATGTATTGTGTATTATGTACTGCATTTTTAAATCAAATAAGGGCAATCTTGTAGTTTAGGTGGGTAATAATTCGCATGTATTCTACCTTGCTGCTGGGACTCACTTTGACAATCGAAATCATTACATAGTGTATGGTCTGATATTAACTGAAATATTGGTCCAAGACTAACCACTATGCTTGACATTCCTGAAAAACCGGTTAAATTAGTGACATGGTTACCTGAAAATGGTGACTCAAATTTCAATTCATTAACTGGTATATTTTTAAGATTACCATTAAGTGGAATGTCAACCTGTCACAAAATTGATGCAACTCTTGGCTATGGTCCAAATGTATCCAACAAATTAATAGTTATAAATTTTTTATTTCTAAAAAAAAAAAATACTTTTAAGTTATCAGAGTTGCTGTTAAATATAAATTATAAGGGCAAGGAAAATTTTTAGAAATTAATATAAGAATATAATATTCTTTAATTTTAGATTATTTTGATGAATTTTTTTTGTGAAATTCAGATTTTCCTTACCCTCACAATTAAAAGATAAGAAACAAACAGCAAAAAAGAATGGAAATCTGGAAATTTGGTAGGTGTAAAATTCAAATTCTAAATGTCGGTGTGTAAATGTGCATTAATACCAAAACTTCAAGATTATCCAGATCAGTTCCTAATAACATGTTTATTTATTCATCCAAAAATATAACCCTTATTATATTATCCACCAAGTTATGAATTTTTTTCTGTAAGTCTTCACCCCTCAGCAAATTAAAGTTCAGTTTACAATCATTATATCCATTAATTTGAGAAAGTCACTATTAGAAATATAAAAAACATATTTACAAATTGGTAGGCAACATTAAAGTCCATATTTTAAATTATTTTATAATATAGAGCATGTTCAATTACTTCAGTCTGAAACAAATTTGTTTTTTTTAGTGGGTCATCCTGTATTTTATATTTCAATTACTATTTATAAATTAGACATGAGCCACAATAGATCCATCTGCTGGATCCCAGTGGAAGGCGATGGGATCATCCCACTTATATTCAACCAAAATGTAAAAAAGGGGTTTTACATAAAATGTTAAAAAAAGAACTTTAAAAAATTAAAACTACCTCTGCACTAAACAGGTTACATTATTACCCTCTATAGTTTTTTTTTTATTTGGTATTTTTAGTTATCTATCTAGCTCTTTTTGTTTCTGTTTCCTGTTATGATAAATTATTTAAAAATAATATGAAAAAATTATGTAGTTGAATTTTGACTATATTTTTTGCAAAGAAAAAGGTAGAGTATCAGCATAAAATTTGACTAATATCGAGAAACTTTTACAACAACAAAAATTGGTTTTCAATTGTTTTTTTTGCAGCATATAGGTCACATTGAAATCAATATTATTTTCAAATAAAACTTGTTAGATTCTGTGAAATATCTTATATATTCACATACTATTTGTAATTGTTATAATGGGAAAAGTGAAGGTAATTCAAATATAAATACAGTTTGATCCTTTTAAAAAGCATAACTTTATTCCAGACTGAAGTTATTGAACACACTGTACCTTCATTTGAAAATAATTTTAAAATATGGAATTTAATGCTGCCTACCATTTTATACATGGTTTTTTATATATCTAATAGTGCTGGAGATATTGAAGTTTTTCGCACTAATGGATTACCCTATATAGGTGAAAGTTTTTTCACTGTTACCATTATCCATATTGTACCGAATCTCCTAGTTTTTCCATGTCTGACTGTATTACATTTATATGCAGTTCTTTTTGAATCCAAAGTGCATAAAATGCTTTTTCTAATTTTGACACATAAAGTGACAATTTTTGGAATCGCAGCATCAAAAGTATCTACTTTACGCAACCAGTTGCATAATGTTGAACATTATGAAACTGGTTTCGAAAAATTCATTATGTCGCCATCTGCGAAAAGAAAATAAAAATAAACCTTTTTTGGTTTTAAAATCAATAATATACATTATTTTTGATAGTTTATCAAAGAAGGACAGGTTGACTTATAAAAATAGAATTTTATTAATCTTACAACCTAGTAATATTGTTTTTTGGTTCTTATTTTCCATTCTAAATCTGTACAAAATAAAACACAATACACAACAAAATAACCCACTTTCTTGAAATCTAAATAACTTTAGCAATATAAATACACTACAATAAGTGGTTGAGAATAAATAAATATGATTTTCTAATTATCAATAAAAGAATGAAGTTAGTCATATGCAACTAACAATACAAGAAAGTAGTAATTTTTTACCAAAAACACAATTTTATAAAAATAATGTAGTCAAAATTTAGAAAAAATATTGTATGTAACACTACGAAATTCCGTTTTATGTAACTCGTTCATGTTGCGGGACCTCGCTCTGTTCATCCCGCAAATATTCACTCGTTACATAAAATAAGGCATTTCAGAACTGGTTTCAAAAATAGCTATTAAATCATGGATGACTCATTAACCCTTTTCTCCATAATTACAGAATTTCAAATGGCCAATTTCAACTGAAATTGAAAATTTGTTCTTGAACTTGTTTTGTTTTTCACAAGCAAGTGGTTTAAAATTATCAGCTATTTTGACATTCTTAATATATATCTATTTGATAAATTAACCAAAAGGATGTGTTTACATATACAGTGAGCAAGTCTTACCCCCCTAACTAACTCGTTACTGGGGTCTTGTTGGGAAAATCGCCAAAACAGGTCGATTTTTGATTTCTACAATGTACATTTTTGTATGATTAGTTTACCCTTAATTTCATCCCTTACTGGAGGGTAGCAACCCTTTCGAAAAATTTAAATGGCATGGGGTGGTGAGTGATAGCTCATTTGAAAGGGGGTTTTATTCTCTATTCAACCATGCAAAAAAATTTGAAATTTGCATCATTACGTGTTGATTTATTAATGTTTAAAAATAACAAAACCTCACAAAATAGGAAAGCAACTAGACTAACAGTGACTTTCTAGTGGCAAAAAGTCTTACCTACTTCACGTCTGAACCAAAACCGAAATCATGCAGGGGCGAATTTTAATTCTAAGGATGAGTGCGCTACGTTAATTTCCGTTATTCTGAAACAACAATTAGTCGAGAATTAATGAAGCAAATTTCAATTTTTTTTACACGGTTGAATAGAGAATAAAACCCTCTTTCAAATGAGCTATCACTCACCAACCCAATCCATTTAAATTTTTCGAAAGGGTTGCTCCCCTCCAGTAAGGGATGAAATTAAGGGTAAACTATTCATACCAAAATGTACATTGTAGAAATCAAAAATCGACGTGTCTCGGCGATTTTCCCAACAAGACTCCAGTAACGAGTTAGATAGGGGGGTAAGACTTATGATGCTCACTGTATATATTTCTTTAATTTATTTGTTTTGTTTATGATATTTAAAATAATGAACTCATTTATTTTTTTCATTCATATACAAAATTATTTCAAAATTTTCTTCAATTTAAAATTGAATTAATAAAAATAGTACGACCTTATTGAAAAAATAATAATGGTTATGATGTTTAGTAAGAATATACTAATAAGGGATAATTTAATGATTAAAGCGAACTGTAATAAAAATTATTTCCCAACCATTTTGTTTATCTTTTAAATGCATTTTTGCTAATATTAATTTTAGGTACTTTTTTTATAATTTTACTACAAATTCGACGCTATTAAAGAAAGGTGACTCGAACTATGAAACAGTCATTTTGGAAGTGACTTCTGACGATATTTGCATGACTGTTAGCATACAAAATATAAGTGTAAGTATCTTTGTTTGTTAAAAACACCATAAAAATATATGTATTTATGTCTCTATAATTATATTGCATACTGTCACGTTAAGCGTGTTTTTAATAAAATGTTACGTTTAACGTGTTTTTATAATTAATTAAATGTGTCACAATGAATGTGTTCTTAAATACACGTTATGCGTGGTTTTTATAAAACAATGTTACGTTTAACGTGTTTCAAATAATTTTGGGACTATCTATGTCCCGGGTGTTAAATAAAATATATGAATTTGGGCCTCAATCACATAAACACTATTTAGCCTTAAACTTGGCTTCGTAGCCCTTAACTGTATAAGGATTCTGCTCCTGCTGTAAGAACCTAACACGTCTTTAAACAAGGGCTGAAGGAAACACAGTGTTCTCAAAACAAGTATAATGTAATTACAACGATTATATAAAATGTCTTAACTCGACATACCCAAATACAGGCTCAATATAATAATAAGTACACAAAACGTAAACTTACCAACTCCGTTAATATTTGGGCACATGTCACAAACTAACTATTTAAAAATGTAATTATTCGAAATACAAAATAGACTTTTAAATTAGACTATGAAGGTCTAAGCTGGAGCTGCTACAGGGAATCTCCTAAAAGGGGGACCTCCTATGGGGAGGATCCGTTCCCTGTGGAAAAAAGCCATGCGCATTCCCTCAACATCACCTTTATAACTTTCTTATAGTTTATTGTTATTAAAACTAATGTTTAATAATTATTAAATAACCAACCTTGCACATTATTGCTATTTAAAACAAATTGTTGACATAATTAAACAAAGTTTTATGTACATGATGTTATTTAAATAATTAATTAAAATTAGGAAAAATATAAATTTATACGCTTAACGTGACAATACACTAAAAGGAACCTAAAATGAGGTTATAAATAAAACACATATATAAAATGAGGAAATATTCTGTCTCGTTTTAAGTGTAATTACAGGAGTTTTGCTGAATCTGTCATTATTTTCGGTAAATTACAAGAAATAATTTGACAACTTTTATATCCAATTTAAATGCCTCAGATTATAAAGTCTAACCAGGATTTATTTTTTCTTAAAAAGGCAAATAACAAAAGCTGACTAGTAATTTTGTGTTTAATATTTTTAAAAAGTGATGGTTTATTTTAACTTATTGAAAACAAAATTTAAT